CCCGGAGCGCCGCCGCCGCCGCACGGTGAGTGACCGTCAGACCCTCAAGGCCCGCGCCCCGGGCGGGACGGACCTGGACGATCCCCCGTTCTGCCCGGCTCGTCCTCTGGGTCCTCTTCCAGAGCACGGGAGTTGAACTTGCGTGCCTTGGGCTCCTCTCCCCTGTTTGTCCCCATCCTCCCCTCCTATCTCTCCCCGCTCTGCGTCCGTGTCCCCCTCCCACGCCTCATTCTGACTCTCTCACTCTGGACTCTTCGTCTCTCTTGCTTTCTCCTTTTCCACTCATCTCAGACTTTCTTTGTACAACCTTTCCATCACCAAAGCCTGTGGCTCCCTCACCTCTGTGCGGCCACCCGGCCTCCAGGGCCAGGTCCCTCCTATCTCTACCAGCAGATGGGGAAACCGAGGCAGGGACATCATCAGCTCAAGGTCACAGCCAGCGAGATAGGGCAGACCACATTTAAACCTCATGCCCGAGTTCCCAGGTTGAACTTCTCACTTGGTTGACTCATGTCCACATCCTGTGATCTGCCGGCTGGGCACATTCCTGCTGCCGGTACCCCAGGCCTCCCAACATGAAGATGACCTCTCTGTGCCTCCTTCGTGCTAGGCGCGTTCATTTGTTCAAGTTCACTTCATCCTCGCAGCTGTGTGAGAGAGGCAATGCTTAGCCCCATGGGGCAGATGAGGGCACTCAGGCTTAGAGAGGGGGCTTTAGGGACTTGCCCGCAACCAAGTCACTGAAAGTGCAGAGCACAAAGTCAACTGCAGTCTCCAAAGCTTGTGTTCTGTGCATCTGAGAGGCATCTTCTGGCTAAAGGCTTCCTTTCTCAACTACTGTCCTGGGTGTCCCAAGGACATTAGGTTTATGTCCTTAGGAAGAAGCATAATGGTCCCTTCCTAGACCAGTTGCTCAGTTGCCCCACCTGTGCCTCTGAATGCCACCCCATCAACCTAGACAGTGCCTCCTCAGTCCCTGGGTATCCTCTCTGGGGCACATCCTGGTGGCAGAGCCTTCCCTGGCATCCAGAGACACTGGCCTACTGGTGGCTGAGGAGAGGCCAGCCAGCAACCTCACCCTGTCATTAGGGAAAGTTTAGCCTCAGGCAGACATGCTGACACACAGTCTGCAGCTGACACACAGTCTGCAGCTGGCTCAGAAGGAAAAAATGTGTGGTCCTTGGGAATGGGAGCTTGGCTGAGTGAGCCCCTTTCCTGTGTGCCCACCATTCGGATCTTTGGACGCCCTGGCAAGGCCAGAAGGAGAGTGGAGGCCATGGCCACTTGGGGGGAGGAGGGAGGTGCCACGTTTCCTAAGCAGGTGTGCGGCCAATGGTGGCAGCTCACGTAAGTGGCCTTTGTGTTTTACAGTACGTGGCATGCCTGGATGTCCCTGCCCTGGCTGTGGCATGGCGGGCCAAAGGCTCCTCTTCCTTACTGCCCTTGCCCTCGAGCTCCTGGGAATGGCTGGGGGTTCCCAGCCAGCCCTCCGGAGCTGGGGGGCTGCGGCAGCCTGTCGTCTGGACAACAAGGAAAGCGATTCCTGGGGGGCCCTGCTGAGTGGGGAGAGGTTGGACACCTGGATCTGCTCCCTCCTTGGTTCACTCATGGTGGGGCTCAGTGGGGTCTTCCCGTTGCTCGTCATTCCCCTGGAGATGGGCACCATGCTGCGCTCAGAAGGTGAGTGACCCTCCAGTGGTGCCCGGGGGCAGCTGGCAGTGTGAGAAACATTCTGCTCTTCTGGGAGACCCCAGGTCTCATATACTGGGCCAGACTGTGTCCAACAGGGAGGGTGCAGATAGAACAGAATTTCTTGCCTTGTTCCTGTGGGGCCACAGTGAGTATGTTCATTGTTCATTCATCTGTGCATTTATTTATTCTTTGGGTCAGCAGGCATTCACCAAGAAGCAATATAGATGGTGGTTGGAAATTTGATGCCAGGCTTCCTGCCAGCGTTCAAATGCTGGCTCTGCCACTTACCAGCTGAGTAGCACTGGGCACTCAGTGCTTCTATCTCCCAACCTTAACCTGGGAGTGGTAATAGTATCTACCTCACAGGTGCCCTTGTGGAGCCTAAATGCACTGATGCACTTAAAGCACCTGAGAGTGTGCTAGGCAGGGAAAGGGCTAGGCATTGGCAGCAGTGAGCAAAGCGCTGCCTTCAGTGTCTGAGCAGAGTGGAAAAGTTCTCCAGCCACAAGCAGCAGGGTCAGCCATCCCCGGGAATCCACAGGAGGCTGGTGGAAGGGAGGAGGGGATCTGGGAGACCAGGCCCAGACATGGGTGACAGGCTTTTTCTCCACTGCCCTTTTGTGCCGTGTACACATACTACCTGCTCACAAGTAATACGTTGTAATCAAAAAAGCAAAAGGTCGTATGGGGAGCTGCTAAAAATGCAGGTGCCTATCCCCCACCCAAGAGTGTGACATAGTAGGTCTGGACCAGGGCCCAGGAATCTGTTAGAAATGAGCACCCCAGGGGCCGGGCTCAGTGGCTCACACCTATAATCCTAGCACTCTAGGAGGCTGAGGCGGGAAGATCATTTGAGCTCAGAAGTTTGAGAACAGCCTGAGCAAGAATGAGACCCTGTCTCTACTAAAAATAGAAAAAAAAACTAGCCAGTTGTTGTGGCAGGTGCATGTAGTCCCAGCTACTGGGGAGGCTGAGGCAAGAGGATTGCTTAAGCCCAAGAGTTTGAGGTTGCTCTGAGCTATGATGCCACAGCACTCTACCCAAGGCAGCAGAGTGAGACTCTATCTCAAAAAAAAAGCAAAGGAAGAAAAAGAAATGAGTGCCCAGAGGCTTGTGCTACCTGTCAGGCCCAGGAACCATACTACAAGCAGATGGTTACCGAACACCCCTGCTCCAGGCACTAGGCTGAGGGCTGGCACCATAGCTACAAATGGAGCCCTCATCAGGCCCCACTGTCAGGCCTGTGCTTCAACTCATTCTCTCCTCAGAGCAGCTCTTTCAGGTTAGTGTAGGGAGCAGTTGGATCATTAGTTCAATTTTACAAGTGGGGAGACACAGGCATAGAGGTTCTTTGATCAGCTAAAGTCATACAACCTGAATTAGCATCTTCCTCTGGGATCCTACCCCACACCTAGCTGCCTCTGCCTTCTAGGCTTCGGTTTCTCTATCAAACCAAGGAGTTGGATTCTTTTTTTTTTTTTTTTT